AGCCCCCTTTCAAAATGAATGGGCTGCCCTAATGCAATTTGGAATTAATTTACTAAAGGCAAATTGGTTGCTCACTTTGCAAGGGAATTTTCACTTAGATGATGGAAGTCAGCAGAGCTGACCTTATTTACTATCACATGCAAGCAAAAATAAGTTTTTTGTTTAATTTTGCTTCCATGTGATTGGGTATTTGTATTGGACAACATACATTTACTAACCTAAGGGAAAGTTTCCTTGCAAAATGAACAGTCTCTTTGCCTTTAGGAGATCATACCCAATGAGCAAAACATGCTGATTTCCCAGTGCACTGACAGGCATTCTGAGATGGATAACAATTTGTGGAAAATAAGATAAAACGATATAATATATTATCATACATTTTCTGCAGGGTAGTGTAAGGTAATAACTGTATTTAAAGAAGAACTCTGGTTAAAAAAGCTATTAACCCTTGCAGTGGGGCTATCCCCACAATGCAAGGGTTAAATGCTAATTTTTGTTTAGGTGCTAAAAAAAGTTATACTCACCATCCAAGCCTGCTCCCTTCTATATTCACTGAAGCCTGTCTCCTCCTCCACTGCAAAGATGGTCTGCTCCTCGGCATCCTCACGCCTACACACAGTCTATGCACAGTGTATAGAGCAATATGAAATCAGGACCCTTAGACCACTGCAGCAGAGGGGGAGAGATGTTGACAGTGGTCTGAGAACAAGCCAGCTCAGATGGTCTGGTGAGCATAACTTTTTTAGCACCTAGACACAAACAAGCACTTAACCCTTGAAGTGCGTGGGTAGCCCCACTGCAAGGGTTAATATTTTTTTTCCCTGGAGTTCTTCTTTAATGTATTTTAGGCAATTCCCTTCGTTTTCACAAAATCAATTTTTCTCAACTACCACTGTAAATGTTTTAAGATCTCTACACAAAATGACAGGTGATACTGTATAATTAGAATGTATTTGCTAATAAACATGTGCAGGGTCCTTCTAGACTCAAAGCACAGCTAGACCTTCAGGCTGTCCACAAACAGGTGCCTCCCCAATGATGGATGGGGAGACATCTGTCTGTACTTATTCATACGAGGACCCACTGCTGGTTATAATCTCAGCAAGCAAGAACAAAGCAGTACTTGTGCTGTCACTTTGCCTAACTCTGTATTTAGTGACAATAGGGTAGTTTTGTACCAATTGCTCAGACGTTTTCCAACATGTATGAAAATGTTGATAGCAAAAGCAATCACTTATGATATTAGATACACTAATGTGTGCCTCTAGACATTATGGGACAGTGCATGCATCAAACGCACTGTGAAGTGTGTTGGATTTGAAGATTCTTCTGTCAGGGTAACTCTGCAGCACAGAAAAGATTTCATGAGCAGAAACTGGACCAGGTAAGTGTAAAATGTCTTCTTTTACAGGTGCTTACATTTTTTATTTATTTTTAAACCTGCAAAACCTCTCAACTCACACTGACATATACTGCACGATTATTCTTGTCATTTACCAGCAAACTAAAGATCTATCTGATTTTCCATTTCACTGAGTCAATCTAAGTCTTCTTGAAGTTCACTAAGCCATGATGAAGGGGGTGTGCTGTGATCTTGCTAAAAGAACCACTAAAGCATTTTGGACTCTTCCCCCTTTTGGCTTGGCTGTTGTATTTTTGTGTTTTTTCCATTCAGAAATCAGTTTTCAGAAACAGCATGATAAAACAAACTGCAATATCTTCAGAAAACAGACAGGTTAAGATCTGCAAAAAAGTTTGCAAAAAATCCTTGCATCGTAGATAGTTGACCTGAAGGGGATTCAATCATAACAAGGAAAAAAGACGAATAATTGCTGAATTCTAAGATTTTTTGGCAAATTAGTCCAGAAAATCAAATTTGCTTAACATAATATTAATAACAATAATAATAGGCACTTACTTTTCTTTTTTCATGTATGTTTCCTGAATCCACAAGGACTGAATATCAGAAGTCAATAACCTTCATCTGCAATCAAGCAATGGGAGTATTCCACTGAAAGCTAAAAAGAAACACACTGAATTCCAAGTTCCAAATGTCAACTGGAGAGAAAAATATAAGGAAACAATGATAAATAACAATATGTAATGAGAATGATAAACCGTATAGCTAAAATCCTATACAGCTCCACATATAGCATACCATGTAGAAAAGTTTCAGTGAATTGAAAGTTCCCTCTAGGATTTTTAAGGTGTAAACTGAATAAATATTAGTTATAAACAGAGAAGTAAGTAAGCAAAAGTTATAAAAACATTTTTAGACTTTGTCCTTTGCTTTAAATGCGGTGGTTAATAATTAACCTTGACTGCTCACCTCCTTAGAAGCTTGTTAAAGAATATTGAGTCACAGTGTAAGAAAAAAAAGTCTGTCTATCACAAACAGGAAAAGATATCCAATTTATTACACTTTGATCTTTGCTTATCATAAACAGCAAAAGTCATAACGTTTCTTAGACTTTGTCCTATGTTGTTGTTGTTACAGTATGAACCACTTGAAGACTGGGGTGTTTACATTCCCTTCCTGTCCATGCCATTTTTGAGTATTCAGCGCTCCAGTACTTTGACCGACATTTATTCAGTCATGCAAATGAAATTCATTTTATACCATTTTTTTGGGACACATATTTGGTTTATTTTGGTGGTATTTAATCATTTAATTTTATTTTTTACTAAATAACAAACAAGTACAGTGAATTTTGAAAAAAACCTGTTTCCCTTTGAAATGTTATAAAACATTTATTATCACCCCAATTTTTTGGGTAAAATATAAAAGACGGGGTCACGTCGGGTAAATAAACACCAAACATGTCAAGCCTTAAAATTGCGAGTGCCCGCAAAATTACAAAAAAATTAGTACACCCAAAATTGGCCATAGGCGACGCTTTAAAAACTTTTAACGCTGGGGTGCATGCGCGCAACGGACGATACAGGTCACGTACTGACAACGCTCTGCATCGCCTCAGCACACTCGGGCACAAAACCAAGCCCTAGCTACACAAACAGAAGTTCTTTCAACCTCCCAGCATCTTGAACGTACTGGGAGCAAGATGTCACGCTCCGGTCCCAAACAAAATCCTCCCCGTGGTAAATTGATTAATGAAGCCTTGGCACAAGCAGCATCCAAGATGGCGCCGCCGTACATCAGACAGGCAAGCCTTGCCTCTACACCACCTGCACTGTGCAATGAGGCTGCGGATGACAGTGATAACAGCTCTGCCTCTCCTCCATGTGAGTCCTCTCAGAAAGAACCCCTTCATAAATTTGACCGCATGCTTTGCAAAGCTCTTGCAACTACATCCAAACAAATTACTGGCCAGCTGTCCCGCGAAATTCGCAAACTGGGCCAATGCACTGCTGACTTAGAAATCAGTATGGACGACGCTGACCACAAAATTAGCTCCCATACAGAAGGAATGGGCAGACTTCACAACGACAACCAGCTCCTGTGATCGAAATTGGAGGATCTGGAAAATCACTTGCGTTGATCGAATCTACGTTTCAGTAGTATTCCTGAACATGTTCTTAATTTGCAATCTACCATAACTGCACTACTTCAACAACTGGTTCCTTCCATTCCTATTGAATGTCTGGAAATGGAGAGGGTTCATGTGCCCTAACTAAATGGCTGCCTGAAGGCCCACCCACGGGTATGGTGGCTACATTTCTGTACTTTCGCACTAAAGAAGCAATTATTGAGGCCGCCCGTGCTCAACAACCGTTATCTTTCCAGTGTACTCCCTATCAAGTCTTCGCTAATTTAGCTCCCTCTACAATTGCCAAATGCAGGGAGCTTAAACATCTTCTTCAGATCCTTCAAAAACACCAGATTACAGGTGAAACTCGAATAATTAAAATATCGTGCAAAAGTAATTGCAGTAAGTCCTGCAAAAGGGGCCCAAACCAAGTACTGAGTACATATGCATGCTTGTTCTTTTCAGAGGTCCGATATTGTTCTATGTACAATCCTTGTTTTATTGATTGCATGTAATATTCTACTTTTTTGAGGTTGTGGATTTGGGGTTCTTGGGGTTTTGATGAGCTGTAAGCCATAATCATCACAATTATGACAAATCACGGCTTGAATTATCTTGCTTTGCATGTAATGAGTCTATCTCATATATTAGTTTCACCTTTTAAGTTGCATTAGTGAAATAAATGAACTTTGCACGATATTCTAATTATTCGAGTTTCACCTGTATGTATCGATGGGGTTTCCCCGCTCTGTCTCATGTTCACCTACAATGGCTGCCATTACCACGGCTTGACTCTGGAGACCTTCCGCCACGTCCTTGCTGACCTGCAATTGCTACCGCTGAATGAACTCCCACCATAGGCTCAACCCAAGCATTGCAGAGAAGCTTCCTTCTCTGAACCTTCAGCCACTCTGATGACTTTGCTCTCTAAAGCCATATGGAAAAAGATGTCCTTGCCACAGGTGGGTTTTATCCCAGGTAGAGAAGCCCGGGATAACGCTCTTAAATCCATCAACCTGATGCACATTGCTAAACAACAACAAACAACAACAAAAATACCCCACTCTGCACCGATGCAGAAAAGGCATTTGACAGGGTGGCATGGGATTTTCTCCTCGCCACCCTGTCCCACCTTGGTCTGGGGGTCCGGATGTTGGAGTGGATCTCAGCACTCTACAATAATCCTACTGCAAAAATGCGTATCAATGGATCCCTATCCCCTCTTTCACTCTACACAACGGAACCCGACAGGGGTGTCCCCTATCCCCCCTACTGTTCGCTATCTCGTTACAGCCCCTGTTAGCCACCATTAGACAAAACCCTGATATTCAGGGTATCCCGACCGGGGCGGGCGAATTCAAATTATCAGCGTACACGGATGATATCCTGTTTTATGCCCGGAACCCTCGGATATCCCTCCCACAAATACTCATCATTAGATCATTAGATCAATATGGCTCTCTCTCAAACTTCAAAATTAATATGAGTAAATCTGAAATCCTTAACCTAACCATGACGGAAGAGGACACTCGAGCACTCCTCCCTCAATTCTCCTTCCAATGGCGTCCCCACTCCATCCGATACTTGGACATTCACTTGCCACTTAGGCTCTCAGACCTCTACCGTTGCAACTTCATACCTCTCTTAAACTTGGTTAAAGCAGACCTGCCCTCCTTCTCCCTACGTACACTACCCTGGGTGGGGAGGATAAACGCTGTGAAGATGATGATTCTCCCTAAAGTTTTTTTTCTGTTCCAGATGCTCCCCATAGAATTGCCTGGTTCATACTTCAGGACCCTCGCCAGAATAACGTCCACCTACATACGGCAGAACCGCGCTCCCAGGATTGCGGGTAGGATACTGGTACAAACTCGGCGGAATGGAGGGCTGGCCCTCCCAGACTTCTGGGCCTACCACGTAGCAGCCCAGATGGTGAGAGTGGTGGACTGGGTATATGGGGGCTCGGGTAAGAGTTGGGTGTCCCTAGAGACTGTGGTCTGTGGTGCTCCTTTACAGGAGGTAATATGGTTGCCCCCTGAGTGGAGGCCCTTTACCTCTACCATCTTGCCTCTGACTTCTTCCACGTTACGCTCCTGGGACCGCTTACACCGCAGGTTTCGATGGCCACACAACTCAAGCCCTTGCAGGGCTCTGACTTCTTGCCTCTGGGGCGAGTAGACAGATCCTTCGCGCAGTGGTCGGAATCTGCCACTCTTAAACTGGGCGATGTATTGACTGGTACCTCCCATAAACACGCTGATGACTCTGAGAGCCAAATGGGGCAGGATACCCCTGGATTCCTAGAAACACCGCCAGCTGTCCCATTTCATAGGCTCACTCCCAAAACCACTAAGAGAGCCCCGAGACTTCACTTTCGTTGAATCCATTCCAAGCTCAAAATCTGTGCCCACTCACTGCCTCTCTTACTTCTATAGAGCCATACTCAACGAGGAACACGACACGCCCCCGCCGTTCATACGCAAATGGGAGCCAGACTTACACAGAACTCTTACCCCTGAGGAAAGATCTCGTGTAATGGCCCTGGTTACGACCTCATCGATAGATGTCCCAATGTTAGAAACTAATTACAAACTATTATCTCGGTGGTACTATGTCCCTACCAAGTTGCACAAAATCGACCCTCTCCTTGATCCCCATTGCTGGCGGTCATGCAGGAACCCAGGCTCCTTTGCTCATATCTGGTGGGAATGTCCGTTAATCATACCTTCTTAGACACTGGTTCTCCAGATCATTCACCACATCAGTGGTGAGCAGCTCCCGAGAGATCCTTGGGTGGCTCAGTTCCACCTCACCTCTGACTCCCTGTGATCATACAAGAAATCAATAGTCCCATCCCTATTGAATGTGGCCAAATCTCTCATACCGAGATACTGGAGATCCGCAAACGTCCCCTCCATGCAGGATTGGTTCCGAAAAGTGGACAGCATAAGATTGTTGGAGGAACTAATGTACACCGACAAGGACTCAAACTATACTTTTTATAGGAAATGGGTATGTTGTTTGGCCTTCCGGGACTCTGATACCTATCAATCTCACTTGCTTGACCCTGAGAAGTGACCTTAGGTGCTTAACCGGGATGAGTGGCCCACCCTTGTGGATTTAAGCGGGCGAGGTACCTAGTGAGGTACCACTTACAGTTGTAGGTTCTATACCTGATACATCTACCTGGAAATATGCATGGGACAACACTCAGAACAAAATGTAAATTGTGAAATTAGTGCCATGTAATTGTACAGTGTTCCATGTATAACACCTGAAAAATCCAATAAATCGAAATAATTGAAAAAAAAAAACAATATAGGGAAGACATTACAATCACAATACAAATCAAGACAAGATGGTAAGGAGGGCCCTGCCCCTGAGGGCTTACAATCTAAAAGGGAGGGGGAAGTGATACATGAGGAGGGAGATGTGTGGGGATGAATTATTTGAGAACGTGATGGTTGAGCAGTTAGGTTGAGGTGGGATAGGCTTCCCTGAAGAGATGAGTCTTTAGGGAATGCCTAAAGGCAGTCAAGGTGGGCGACAGACGGACAGGTTGGGTAAAGAATTCCAGAGGATGGGAGAGACTCTAGAGAGTTATAAAACTACAATGAACAAGGGTATTTATGACTAAAATGTTGTTAGTCTAGAAATAGATTTGTTTATTAGAAGACATTTAAATGCAGCAAATTCATGGGAAAAATAGGCCAGCACCTGGCCGTTTTTGTGAGGCACTAGAAAAAAATTGATTACCAAAATAAATGTATTTTGGACTATAGCATTTAATTAGTATCAATCCCAGTATGTGCATAAGTGTGTATTTAAATCTACAGTACATTCCTATAACAAATTTGTACCATACCTGGTATTAAATGTAATAATACTTAAACATTTTCGAGGCCGTAGATAAGATTTATTAGCCCCTAGAGTATGAGTAAGATTGTCACAGTATCCCAGGGTATTCTTCAAAAACACAATTGCAAAAAATAATTGAACACACACTATGAGTTTTTTTTTTAATTACATTTATGAAGGCTACAAAAAGGGTTTGTGGTGAGAGACAATCAGTGAATATCTGTGACATTGTAAGGTGTGAATAATATTTGTTAACTGCAAAATACAAATATTATTGATTTACTATCATTATTATGAGGCTACAACCAAGGTAAATACATAGAAATGAAACAGTTAAATGCAACCTTACAATGTTTTTGTGTTTTCTAAGAATCTTAACTTTTGTGTTACAACTTTACCTGAAACACAATTAAAGTTGTTTCGAAGAGTTTTGAACAGAGCAGAGTAGAGGTAACTGCAGCACCCTCAAAAGGTTTATAAGGCAAAAATAGGGATGATAGAGTGACTTGATAAAAACTGATGTTGTGAATTCAGAAATGACTGATTTCACCATTAGTGAAAGTTTGCCAAACCAGAAACCATAATTTAAATGATTTAGCTGCTTACGTGCAAAAAAATGTTTGGGGGGGTGTATTTAATGGATTACGTTTACTGGATTTAGTGTTCTTCTGTTTTGGAGGTTTCTGTGTTTGTATTTTTTATTTGCCTACTGTTGTAATCTAATAAGACTACATATGGGCTAAGATAGTTGGGATAGTAAAGAGCAGCATTCTTAGCAAGCAATTTAAAGCCCATTGCACCGTAAAAAAAACAAAACACAACATTGCCTTCCACAATGACTTATGTCTCCAATTTTAACCGATATTTGGGGAAACAGGCAACTCTCAATTTTGCTCATCCAATGACCAGACCTTCCTTAGGGAGATAAGAAGTTTAAAGTTATATAGACACCCTGAAGCTGATTTACTAAAGGATTTTAAATAATTAACTGAATAATTTGTGTGAATATTCACTTCAGTTTTAAGGTGGCCATACACTTTACAACCATTGCAAGTGAAACGTAAACTCCTGTTCACTTTACTTATTTCCATTTCACAAAACTGGTTATTCAAACTCAAACTTGCTTCACATAACTGAATAACTGAAGTGAATATTCACAAAATGTATTGAGTAAACCATCCCAACTGTTGCTGCGCAATGTCTCCTTAGCCCACCAAAATAAAGCAGCTGAACAGTAAGCAGGACTTACTGTAGCACAAATGGCTATTTTACATTTTATAAAGAAGAAGTTCTCTAAAAAGGCAAACTGCCACCCTTAAATGCAGTGATGTTAGGCATGCAGCCATTATTATAAAGAGGGGATATAGTGTAATCTCACCCAAAACTAGCTCAATAAGCTATTAAGGTAGTAGAATGATATTTTTATATTTGTTGGGGACTCCAGCAAGAATACCGTACTGTGCAAAAGTTTTCGGCAGGTGTGAAAAAATGCTGTAAAGTAAGAATGCTTTTAGAAATCAAAGTGTTAATAGTTTATTTTTATCCATGGAACAAAATGGTAAAGTACATGAACAGTAGAAAAATCCAAAGCACATCAATATGTGGTGTGACCATCCTTTGCCTTCAAAACCACATCAATTCTTCTAGGTACATTTGCACATAGTTTTTAAAGGAACTAGGCAGGTAAGTTGTTCAAATATCTTATAGAACTAACCACAGCTCTTCTGGGGATGTAGGCTGCCTCAAATCCTTCTCTCTCCATGTAATCCCAGACAGACTCGATGATGTTGAGATCAGGGATATGTGATGGCCAAACCATCACTTCCAGGACTCCTTGTTCTTCTTTACCCTGAAGATAGTTCTGTATGACATTGGCTGTATGTTTGGGGTCGTTGTCCTGCAGCAGAACAAATTTGGGGCCAATCACACTCTTCCCTGAGGTTATGGCATGATGGATAAGTATTTGCTTGTATTTCTCAGCATTGAAGACACCATTGATCCCGATCAAATCTCCAACTCCATTGGCATAAATGCAGTCCCAGATTTGCAAGGAACCTCTGCCATGCTTCACTATTGCTGTAGACACCCATTATTGTACCGTGCCCCAGCCTTTCGATGAACAAACTGCCTCCTTGACTGATGAGCCAAGTATTTCACATTTTGACTCATTAGTCAAGAGCACCTGCTGCCATTTTTCTGCACCCCAGTTCCTAGGTTTTTTGCATAGTTGAGTTGCTTAGCCTTATTTCCACGTCGGAGACATGGCATTTTGGCTGCAAGGCCACAGAAAAATGGCAGCAGGTGCTCTGGACTGATGTGTCAAAATTTTAAATATTTGGCTGTAGCAGGAGGCAGTTTGTTCGCCGACAGACTGAAAAACGGGACAATAATGAGTGTCTGCAGCAACCGTGAAGCACGTTGGAGGTTCCTTGCAAGTCTGAGGCTGCATTACTGCCAATGAAGTTGGAGATTTGGTCAGGATCAATGGTGTCCTCAATGCTGAGAAATACAAGCAGATACTTATCAATGCTTTTAGAAATCAGCATGATGGATATGATTTGGATTTATCTACTGTTCATTTACTTTCCATTTTGTTCATTGATAGAAAGAAACTATTAACACTTAGATTTCTGAAAGCATTCTTACTTTACAGCATTTTTTCACACCTGCCTTACATTTATCGACTTATTTGCAATACTGAAAATCTAAGGAAAGTTTTGATGATAATGGAAAATAATCAAAAATTCCTCCCAGGATATTCTGTCAACATATTCCTGTGTAACAGAAATAATTGTATTAATGCCTACACAAAATCAGTTGCATTGTTAACTGAATGTGTTATCTTTATTATTTACTGCAGGTAACGAAAGTCAAATTATGTTGGAAAATTGTACATCAATTACTTATTTTGCTTTGCTTGGCTTAACTGACATAGTAAAGCTTCAGGTGATCTTGTTTGCATTTTTCTTTATGCTTTACATTATAAACCTTATAGGAAACCTTTCTATCATGGTTGTAACCATTCACGATCCAAGCCTGCATACTCCTATGTACTATTTTTTGTGGAATTTGTCATTACTTGACATTTGTTATTCCTCTGTGACCGTTCCCAAGATGCTGGCTGATTTCTTTTCCTGTTATAAGGTCATCTCTTTTGCTGGCTGTATCTCTCAGATCCATTTCTTCCATTTCCTTGGTAGCACAGAAGTTATGCTACTCACAGCAATGTCTTACGACCGCTATGTGGCCATAGGAAATCCTTTGCGTTATTCCAATATTATGAATAGTAAACTTTCTCGACATTTGGCGTTAGGTTCTTGGATGACAGGATATTTCCACTCTCTCCTACACACCGTGATGACTGCAAAGCTACCATTTTGTGGGCCAAACCTGGTGAATCATTTCTTCTGTGACATTAAACCTGTGTTGAAGTTGGCGTCCGCCGACACATCTCTTAACCTAAAGCTTCTCACAAGGGTCACTGGAACACTGGCCACAACCACTCTGCTATTAACTCTTCTCTCCTATCTCTTTATTAGCAAATTCCTCCTTAAAATACAGACAGCAGAAGGTCGAAAACATGCATTCTCCACCTGCAGTGCTCATCTTACTGTTGTATTTCTCTTGTATGGAACAGCAATATTTACATATTTACGACCTTCCACACAAGATTCTTTGGAACAAGATCGAGCTGCTGCTGTTCTCTTTACTGTGATAACCCGAGCACTAAACCCAATCATATACACCCTAAGAAACAAAGACATGAAGAAAGCCATGAAAAAAATTGTAAATATTTCACACTTCTAATGCAGCTACAAACAAATGCATCTTCTAAAACTGAATTTATCAAAACTGGAGCAGACAAAAACTGGAGCAGATGTTGATGGCAACCAATCAACTTCATCATTTTAAACTCTTAACTGGACAAACTGAAGAGAGAAGCTGATTGTTAAAAAACTGAGAGGGAAATGTATCAAAACTGGAGCAGATGTGCATAACAACCAATCAGCTGTTCAAATATACATATGGCCCAAACTGTTTGTGGATTTTGGACTTTGGATAGAAGAGGGAAGGATTAAAGCTACTGTCAGGTTTTACAGCTGTTGGATACTTTGTTGATTAGGTTTCTTCACTTCCTGTCCGGTAAAAAGATTGCCCCCAGGATAGGAAGTGAGTAGAAATATCAAAATACAGCAAACACAGATAGAAGGAACATGTTTTTTTTAAGTTAAGCAGAGAATACTAGAACCACCACCATCTTTTTTATTGCTGTCTGTGTAACGGTTGATGATTTTCCCTCACTTGCTCTCTGGTAAAAAGATAATCCCCAGAACAGGTAGTGAGGGCAAATCTCATTCTATCCAAAACTAAGGACAACTTTAAAGCAGAATTCCATGTCTTTAATCCCACATCCTGCATTTAAAATAAAAGGCAATTTTCTACTTTCCAGCGCTGTCCCCCGCTTTCCTTTGGTCCAGTACTGCCAGTGTTTTTTGGTCAGAACAACAATCACATGATTTCCTGTGTGTCCAGGCTGGCATTGTCAGACCCCTCTAGAGATGTGATGTGTCATCATGCAGACTGGGCTAACAGTAATCAGGACTAAGTGGTGCACACATGTCATAAGTGTGGTTTAGTCTAGGAGGAATACCACTGCCAAGGAAGAAGAGTGAGCTCCCATGACTGAAGACTGGAGGTAAAGGTTATGTATAGGGCATTATTTTAATTAAAAAAAAGACCTGAAGAGGCTTGGGGGTTTGGGTAGTGCTAAAGAAATAACTGTGGTGGGGAATAACTGGAGTTCTGCTTTAACATCATTATTATATTATTTTTAGAGCTTGATTTTTTTATTCTGTGTTTTCTAAATATGAATTTAAACTTATAGTTATATACATTTTATATGTTTATTATTGTGTAGGCCTTAAATAAGTGGTATTATTAGTAATTTTCATTATTCTTCTATTTAATAATAAACCTCAGTTACTGACAAAATGTAGTAATATATGGCAAAAGCATGTACATGGCTTCCTTTGAGATTATCTCCATTGTTGATATTGAACAAAATGTAATTCAAAAAGTTAATAAATTTGCATTGTAAGTACTTGTGGGTTTAGGTTGTACATTGAGAGCAGTTCTGCAGCTACTTCTATACAGATATTACAACTGTAACAGTAGTTCGTTTAGTGACCTTTGGATATTTACTTACCTGCCTATCAATATATATTCAACGTTATCTGCACTGTAAGTAATACAATTTGTTACATTTTGCATTAATTTCATGACTTCAGAAAATTTTTCCTATTCAAATATTGCTTATAATATTTATATAATATTTATCTACAATTGTTTATTATGGAAGAATGTATGCTCTTAACATGTTATGGTCTGTTTTTTTTTAAGATTTGATCATGAATATTTATAGCCAAATGTATGCAATCATAGCAATCAAATGGAAATTCCAGACCATGGAAGCATTTGAGGGAATAGAGTGTGAAACTCGTTTAAACCAGGATGTTTTTTGTGCTCGGAGTTGATATTTCATTTTAGTATACCAGGCTCAATATCTGATTGTTAGATTCATAATAAATCTCAGCCAACTAAAAAGCAAAAGGAAACAGACCAGCTGTACCTTAAATTACCAACCCAAGAGCCATTTCTCATGTATTCACCATAGTTTGTAATGGTAATAGTTCTTATTACCATGATACAGTGTGGTGAATCCACATGAAAAGAGTTATGGAATGAGTTACACATAGGGATGAGAGGTTAGATTCACGGACAGTGTAGCAGGTAAGGTTCTAGAGTAGTGATGGGCCGAACACCCCAGTGTTTGGTTCGTATTCGAACACCCGAAAAGTTCGTATACGAACTCAAACCTAATGCAAGTCAATGGGGGCCGAACTTTCGAAAATGATTGTCCCCTTTAAGAGGGCTTATACGCAAATTATTGGCCATAAAAAGTGTATGGGGATCGGTGTACTGCCCTGGGGGACAGGAAGTGGCGCATCTGTACAATGTATAGAACCTGCTGCAGCAAAACATTTCTAAAGAAAAATAAATGACATTTTTTTTTACTCTTAAAGTGTGCAGCTACCCCTCCTAAACAATACCAGACCCTTAAGGTCTGGTAGGAATGTTAGGAGGGACTATTTTTTTTTTAAAGAAGCGTAGGGTTCCCCCTAAAAGTCATACAAGACCCTTAAGGTCTGGTAGGAATATTTAGGAGGGACCCCGTGTACAAAAAGAAGTGTGTGGGGTTCCCCCTTAAAGTCATACCAGGCCCTTAAGGTCTGGTAGGAATTTTAAGGAGGAACCACACCCCCAAACATGGGGGGAAAACCGTGGGGTCCCCCCTAAAATTCCATACCAGACCCTTGATCCGAGCATATGGCCTGGCCGGGTCGGAAAGGGGGGGCGAGCGAGCGCCCCCTCCCTCCCACAACAGGCCACATGCCCTCGGCACTGGGAGGGTGCTTTTCCAGGATCACCCCTGGAAAAGCACCTTGTCCCCGTGCCGATGGGGACAAGGGCCTCGTCCCCACAACCCTGACTCGGTGGTTATAGGGGTCTGCGGACAAGGGGGCTTATTTGCATCGGGGTACCTCCTCCTCCCTTGTGAATAAGTAAGGGGTACTTGTACCCCTACCCATTCACTAAAGGGTTAAATAAAATAGTTATGAAAAAGTCCAGACTTTTGAGAAAATCCTTTCTTTTGTCAAAAGCAGGTCTTTTTTGTTTTTTTTTCCAGTCTTTTATTTAAAATAAACCCCCCACCATATTGAAGTCTATGGGAAGTAGACATGTGCGATTAATTTTGTTTTGAATTGAAATTCGGGTGAATTTCTGCATATGCAGATATTCAGATGCATGTTGATGAGGACAAGGGCCTCTCCCCCACAACCCTGGCCCGGTGGTTGTGGGGGACTGTGTGCAGGGGGGCTTATAGGAATCTGGGTGCCCCTTTCATAAAGGGGACACCCTGATTCCGCCCCCCTTGTGAATAAGTAAGGGGTAGTTGTTATCCTTACTCATTCACCAAATACAGAAAAATTGTAAAACACACAACACCGTAACAACAGTCCTTTATTTTTTCAAAAACTGTGTTGTGTTTTTTTTTCAGTCTTTGCAAAAAAAAATGTCTAACAATGTAATCCAAATGTCAATCACATCGTCTGAAAGAAAAAATACCCGACGCCCGCCGACACAACCGAACCTGCGGTACTCTTGCAGCAAAATGACAGCTCTGGCCCGAATGTCAAGTGAGTCGTGATGTCACGGGACTTATTCCACCCCTTTGTTGACATTTGGGAGCAGAGCTGTCATAATAACAACTCTGCTCCTGAATGTCAACATAGGGGCGGAGCGAGTCATGACATCACAACTTGTTCCACTCCTTTGTTGACATTAGGAGCAGAGCTGTCATTTTGCAGCGAGAGTTGAGTTGGTGGGCGTTGGGTATCATTTTGCTTTCAGCAAGTCGGCGGCAATTGTCCATTGTGAGTGACGTGGATCTACATCGCTGGATGACATGATTGACCTTGGGATTACATTGATGGACATTTTTTTTTTTTTAAATAAAAAACTTGTCAAAAACCTGTGTTGTGTTTTGTTTCCAAATAGTGTGGTGTGTTTATTTAAAATATTCAGATTCAGATAAGCCCCCCCTGCCCACAGACCCCCACAACCACTGGGCCAGGGTTGTGGGGAAGAGGCCTGTGTCCTCATCGACATGGTGACAAGGTGCTTTGCCAGGGGTCCCCAGAGGGAACATGGAGAAGAAAAGTAGCCACTCTCTGGCAAGAAATTGTGGATGGAAAAATTAAAACAGATTTTGGAGCATTTAGAGCTAAACTATGGAAAAATAAGGTATTTATATAATAAATCATGAAAATAACTTCTAAGTTTAGTGTCGCTTTAAATACAGCAGCGACACCCCAATCTGATAAATTTCAAATAAAAAAAAAAAAAGATTCAAGGGCTAATTTTTTTTTCATCTAGCGGTAATTAGTCTGAATTGAATGGTAGAAGTAGCAGCCACAATAGATCTGAAAGCTTTAGGAAAACTAAAGCGTATTGGCCATTGGCACAACAGTTTATTAGTATAATTTGCGGGCTTTTTTACAGTATGACATTGCATTGTCTTAGAAGTTTAATAAAGAGTGCACAAAAACACTTCAAAGCCACAAACCCAGATCTTAGCTAAATGCTCTTTTTACTCACCTAAATCTGCAGTCACATGATGCACCAGTCTTGAGCCTTCACTTCTGTTTACATCCGGTGGGGTCCTTTTTTTGGGTATCCAATGCCACTGCCTGCATGAAATGGGCACTTCCTATTGGCTGTTCAGTGGGGGCCTCTTAGGATCCAGAAGAGAAGTGGAAGTGACGTCAGAGCAATGGCATGGTTGGATATTTGCCAGCATGAAGGAGCACGGGTTGGGTTACGCTGGGTTAGTGGTCCCCCGCACATAGAAACAGCTCCAGAGAGAATCCTGGATAGTGGACTTAGATGAGTGTAACTTTCTTCAAAAAGTAGAGAAAAAGAGCACCTCTTCAGGATGGGTTAGAGGAGGATGGGGAGAGAAGGATGGGGAGGGGAGGGTTCATACTTTATCTAGAACTGAGTTTAATAAAAGCATCTAGAAATAGGTTCTTTTAAATTACTGTTCCACAAATGAGACTTTCGCAGGCACGTAAAAACCTTAGCCCAATCATTTTCAAAAACTGAAACTCTATTATATACACTTTTATGCATGAATAATATATACAGAAATCTAACACTTTGTCTGAGGCTAACTTCCTTAAAACAGCCAGGAACTACTAAGTAATCTGACAATGAACACTTTGGCCAGGAGTATATAATTACTTATGTTATGTATAGTGAAGTGAGCAGGAGTATATATTGTACAGAGTGCGGTGGTCAGGATTATGCAATGTATAGTCCAGAATAAAGAGTGCAGTGGCCATAAGTATGTAACATTCAACAGTGAGGAGTGTGTATCATAGAGCAGAGAACACAGTGTGTGCGGCATTCAGGAGAATGCAAAGTACACATTATGTTACATAAACCTGACTGCTGCCTGCTGTATACTGTGCGGTATGTTGCATTTTCTTGACTGCTGCACTGCCAGCATACAGGTCAGAGGTACCTAATACATTGCACAGAGTGCATACAGACAAAAATCCTCCACAAGGAAAAACAGAAAAAACATTCTCCAATAAAATAACTGACATAGTAAAGCTTCAGGTGATCTTGTTTGCATTTTTCTTTATGCTTTACATTATAAACCTTATAGGAAACCTTTCTATCATGGTTGTAACCATTCACGATCCAAGCCTGCATACTCCTATGTACTATTTTTTGTGGAATTTGTCATTACTTGACATTTGTTATTCCTCTGTGACCGTTCCCAAGATGCTGGCTGATTTCTTTTCCTGTTATAAGGTCATCTCTTTTGCTGGCTGTATCTCTCAGATCCATTTCTTCCATTTCCTTGGTAGCACAGAAGTTATGCTACTCACAGCAATGTCTTACGACCGCTATGTGGCCATAGGAAATCCTTTGCGTTATTCCAATATTATGAATAGTAAACTTTCTCGACATTTGGCGTTAGGTTCTTGGATGACAGGATATTTCCACTCTCTCCTACACACCGTGATCACTGCAAAGCTACCATTTTGTGGGCCAAACCTGGTGAATCATTTCTTCTGTGACATTAAACCTGTGTTGAAGTTGGCGTCCGCCGACACATCTCTTAACCTAAAGCTTCTCACAAGGGTCACTGGAACACTGGCCACAACCACTCTGCTATTAACTCTTCTCTCCTATCTCTTTATTAGCAAATTCCTCCTTAAAATACAGACAGCAGAAGGTCGAAAACGTGCATTCTCCACCTGCAGTGCTCATCTTACTGTTGTATTTCTCTTGTATGGAACAGCAATATTTACATATTTACGACCTTCCACACAAGATTCTTTGGAACAAGATCGAGCTGCTGCTGTTCTCTTTACTGTGATAACCCCAGCACTAAACCCAATCATATACACCCTAAGAAACAAAGACATGAAGAAAGCCATGAAAAAAATTGTAAATATTTCACACTTCTAATGCAGCTACAAACAAATGCATCTTCTAAAACTGAATTTATCAAAACTGGAGCAGACAAAAACTGGAGCAGATGTTGATGGCAACCAATCAACTTCATCATTTTAAACTCTTAACTGGACAAACTGAAGAGAGAAGCTGATTGTTAAAAAACTGAGAGGGAAATGTATCAAAACTGGAGCAGATGTGCATAACAACCAATCAGCTGTTCAAATATACATATGGCCCAAACTGTTTGTGGATTTTGGACTTTGGATAGAAGAGGGAAGGATTAAAGCTACTGTCAGGTTTTACAGCTGTTGGATACTTTGTTGATTAGGTTTCTTCACTTCCTGTCCGGTAAAAAGATTGCCCCCAGGATAGGAAGTGAGTAGAAATATCAAAATACAGCAAACACAGATAGAAGGAACATGTTTTTTTTAAGTTAAGCAGAGAATACTAGAACCACCACCATCTTTTTTATTGCTGTCTGTGTAACGGTTGATGATTTTCCCTCACTTGCTCTCTGGTAAAAAGATAATCCCCAGAACAGGTAGTGAGGGCAAATCTCATTCTATCCAAAACTAAGGACAACTTTAAAGCAGAATTCCATGTCTTTAATCCCACATCCTGCATTTAAAATAAAAGGCAATTTTCTACTTTCCAGCGCTGTCCCCCGCTTTCCTTTGGTCCAGTACTGCCAGTGTTTTTTGGTCAGAACAACAATCACATGATTTCCTGTGTGTCCAGGCTGGCATTGTCAGACCCCTCTAGAGATGTGATGTGTCATCATGCAGACTGGGCTAACAGTAATCAGGACTAAGTGGTGCACACATGTCATAAGTGTGGTTTAGTCTAGGAGGAATACCACTGCCAAGGAAGAAGAGTGAGCTCCCATGACTGAAGACTGGAGGTAAAGGTTATGTATAGGGCATTATTTTAATTAAAAAAAAGACCTGAAGAGGCTTGGGGGTTTGGGTAGTGCTAAAGAAATAACTGTGGTGGGGAATAACTGGAGTTCTGCTTTAACATCATTATTATATTATTTTTAGAGCTTGATTTTTTTATTCTGTGTTTTCTAAATATGAATTTAAACTTATAGTTATATACATTTTATATGTTTATTATTGTGTAGGCCTTAAATAAGTGGTATTATTAGTAATTTTCATTATTCTTCTATTTAATAATAAACCTCAGTTACTGACAAAATGTAGTAATATATGGCAAAAGCATGTACATGGCTTCCTTTGAGATTATCTCCATTGTTGATATTGAACAAAATGTCATTCAAAAAGTTAATTAATTTGCATTGTAAGTACTTGTGGGTTTAGGTTGTACATTGAGAGCAGTTCTGCAGCTACTTCTATACAGATATTACAACTGTAACAGTAGTTCGTTTAGTGACCTTTGGATATTTACTTACCTGCCTATCAATATATATTCAACGTTATCTGCACTGTAAGTAATACAATTTGTTACATTTTGCATTAATTTCATGACTTCAGAAAATTTTTCCTATTCAAATATTGCTTATAATATTTATATAATATTTATCTACAATTGTTTATTATGGAAGAATGTATGCTCTTAACATGTTATGGTCTGTTTTTTTTTAAGATTTGATCATGAATATTTATAGCCAAATGTATGCAATCATAGCAATCAAATGGAAATTCCAGACCATGGAAGCATTTGAGGGAATAGAGTGTGAAACTCTTTTAAACCAGGAAGTTTTTTGTGCTCGGAGTTGATATTTCATTTTAGTATACCAGGCTCAATATCTGATTGTTAGATTCATAATAAATCTCAGCCAACTAAAAAGCAAAAGGAAACAGACCAGCTGTACCTTAAATTACCAACCCAAGAGCCATTTCTCATGTATTCACCATAGTTTGTAATGGTAATAGTTCTTATTACCATGATACAGTGTGGTGAATCCACATGAAAAGAGTTATGGAATGAGTTACACATAGGGATGAGAGGTTAGATTCACGGACAGTGTAGCAGGTAAGGTTCTAGAGTAGTGATGGGCCGAACACCCCAGTGTTTGGTTCGTATTCGAACACCCGAAAAGTTCGTATACGAACTCAAACCTAATGCAAGTCAATGGGGGCCGAACTTTCGAAAATGATTGTCCCCTTTAAGAGGGCTTATACGCAAATTATTGGCCATAAAAAGTGTATGGGGATCGGTGTACTGCCCTGGGGGACAGGAAGTGGCGCATCTGTACAATGTATAGAACCTGCTGCAGCAAAACATTTCTAAAGAAAAATAAATGACATTTTTTTTTACTCTTAAAGTGTGCAGCTACCCCTCCTAAACAATACCAGACCCTTAAGGTCTGGTAGGAATGTTAGGAGGGACTATTTTTTTTTTAAAGAAGCGTAGGGTTCCCCCTAAAAGTCATACAAGACCCTTAAGGTCTGGTAGGAATATTTAGGAGGGACCCCGTGTACAAAAAGAAGTGTGTGGGGTTCCCCCTTAAAGTCATACCAGGCCCTTAAGGTCTGGTAGGAATTTTAAGGAGGAACCACACCCCCAAACATGGGGGGAAAACCGTGGGGTCCCCCCTAAAATTCCATACCAGACCCTTGATCCGAGCATATGGCCTGGCCGGGTCGGAAAGGGGGGGCGAGCGAGCGCCCCCTCCCTCCCACAACAGGCCACATGCCCTCGGCACTGGGAGGGTGCTTTTCCAGGATCACCCCTGGAAAAGCACCTTGTCCCCGTGCCGATGGGGACAAGGGCCTCGTCCCCACAACCCTGACTCGGTGGTTATAGGGGTCTGCGGACAAGGGGGCTTATTTGCATCGGGGTACCTCCTCCTCCCTTGTGAATAAGTAAGGGGTACTTGTACCCCTACCCATTCACTAAAGGGTTAAATAAAATAGTTATGAAAAAGTCCAGACTTTTGAGAAAATCCTTTCTTTTGTCAAAAGCAGGTCTTTTTTGTTTTTTTTTCCAGTCTTTTATTTAAAATAAACCCCCCACCATATTGAAGTCTATGGGAAGTAGACATGTGCGATTAATTTTGTTTTGAATTGAAATTCGGGTGAATTTCTGCATATGCAGATATTCAGATGCATGTTGATGAGGACAAGGGCCTCTCCCCCACAACCCTGGCCCGGTGGTTGTGGGGGTCTGTGTGCAGGGGGGCTTATAGGAATCTGGGTGCCCCTTTCATAAAGGGGACACCCAGATGCCGCCCCCCTTGTGAATAAGTAAGGGGTAGTTGTTATCCTTACTCATTCACCAAATACAGAAAAATTGTAAAACACACAACACCGTAACAACAGTCCTTTATTTTTTCAAAAACTGTGTTGTGTTTTTTTTTCAGTCTTTGCAAAAAAAAATGTCTAACAATGTAATCCAAATGTCAATCACATCGTCTGAAAGAAAAAATACCCGACGCCCGCCGACCCAACCGATCTGGCCCGAATGTCAAGTGAGTCGTGATGTCACGGGACTTATTCCACCCCTTTGTTGACATTTGGGAGCAGAGCTGTCATAATAACAACTCTGCTCCTGAATGTCAACATAGGGGCGGAGCGAGTCATGACATCACAACTTGTTCCACTCCTTTGTTGACATTAGGAGCAGAGCTGTCATTTTGCAGCGAGAGTTGAGTTGGTGGGCGTTGGGTATCATTTTGCTTTCAGCAAGTCGGCGGCAATTGTCCATTGTGAGTGACGTGGATCTACATCGCTGGATGACATGATTGACCTTGGGATTACATTGATGGACATTTTTTTTTTTTTAAATAAAAAACTTGTAAAAAAACTGTTGTGGTTTTTTTTTCAAAATGGATCCAAATAGTGTGGTGTGTTTATTTAAAATATTCAGATTCAGATAAGCCCCCCCTGCCCACAGACCCCCACAACCACTGGGCCAGGGTTGTGGGGAAGAGGCCTGTGTCCTCATCGACATGGTGACAAGGTGCTTTGCCAGGGGTCCCCAGAGGGAACATGGAGAAGAAAAGTAGCCACTCTCTGGCAAGAAATTGTGGATGGAAAAATTAAAACAGATTTTGGAGCATTTAGAGCTAAACTATGGAAAAATAAGGTATTTATATAATAAATCATGAAAATAACTTCTAAGTTTAGTGTCGCTTTAAATACAGCAGCGACACCCCAATCTGATAAATTTCAAATAAAAAAAAAAAAAGATTAAAGTATTCTTTCAACAGCTTTTCAGGGAAACACTAGAATGGGACAGGTGCTAATTAAATGTATTGGATTGATCTCACTGTTCCACACTACAAAATTAACTGAATGTACACATACTCTGTTATGTCCAGCATAAGATAAAACAAAGTAAACAAATTACTGTTTAGTGAGATTAGCTTCTGATTAGATTTGCATATAGCTCTTACAAAAACAGATACACTAAGAACTAACTTACACAATTTTTGTTTAGATGGTGCTGCTCATATGTTTAGATTTACCTTAATTATTACCAATAGGATAATAAGGTTTCAAGGTTTGCAGGTGCAATTATAGACACCATACATCATTTTTATATTTAAGCTATTTCTCTATTCTAAAAGGAGGAGGCATGCTGAAGGGAGCGTTGTGACAACTGGCTGGCTCAGAGCTTCGGGTGGTTATCATTTTGTTATTTTAGCACCTAGATAATAACGAGCACTTAACCCACAGAGGAGGAGACGAAACTGTGAAACATTCTAATTCTAGAAACATTCTAATGGGAAACTAATGGTGGTTGTTTTAGAAAGAAGTTATGAATATTTTTCTCTTCTGTTTTTTTGTTTTTGATGGTTTACCTCCTGTCTCTCAACATGATGTTTATATGTTAATAGTGTCATATATGGAAAATAATAAAGAAATATTATACACACTTAACCCACAGTGCAGGGGTAGCCCCACTGCAAGGGTTAAACAAATGTTTCTTGTCGTTTTTCTTTAAAGTAAAATTAAACTCCTTTTTTAAATAATGAATCCAGATTGCTGGCAAGAAACAAGCCTGTTTTACTCAGGAAGTGGCTGCGTTCTAAAGAAAATGAACTG